CGGCGTGGTGGGGCGGTGGGAGGGGTCTCTCTCTCTCTCGCTCTCTTTCTCTCTCTCCCTCTCGCCGTTCCGCCGCGATCCGCGCGCTCGGCTCGGCTCGGCTCGGCCCGGCCCGCCGCGCCGTCCCCGCCGCGCCGACGCCGCGCCACTCCGCGCATTGCTCGCCGGGAGGCCCACGAGGACGGAGCCTTGCCGTCGTCACGCGTCTCGTCCCGCCTCGCTCGCGCGCTGCGTGCGAGTGCGCTCGCGTCGCGTTGTGCCCAGTGTGTCTGTGAACAACCAACTTCACCGCACGAGGAAATCAGAAGCGAGTGGGTGATTGTTGTTGTTGTTGTTGCTTTGTTCTGGCGTTGATGTTGGTGTTTGTTATCAAGTGTGTTCATTGACGACGACGTCATTCCAGCGCCCTTTAGTGCAAATCTCTTCTAGTTTGTGACTCAAACTAGCATTACGTGTGAGTGAGTGTGTTTGTGAGTGTGTCGGCGCAAGCGCTCAGGATACCAAACAGCGCTGCCGAGAACACCACCGACATCATCATCGTCCCCGGCACCACTGCCGCCACCGCCACACCACCCTTTCCTGCCCGCCGAAGGATTTTTTTTTCGGAGCCATGCAACAGTTCCCTCGGAGCGCCTCAGGCTAGAGCCCGGCCCGGCCAGCCGGCTCAGGGTGCCAGCCGCGCCAGGCAGCCGCGCGTGTCCCGCCACAGGTAAGCATTGGTGCACAGCCTCGCGAACATCATCAAGGGCGAGAGGTATGGGGAGGGGAGATGGAAGGGAAGAGACGTGACGGGAGCCCAGTCGAGATCATTTCTAGAGTCAGTGTGAAAACGCATTTCGCGGAAGTAACGTGGAAGTCGCTTCCAGGCGTCGTTATCCCCGGGAGCTGACAGTTGTGCCGCAGGGGTGCCATGGGGCCGGCTGTCGAACTGTCAGCTGTTGTTGCGCCGGGGGTCATGATGGCGCGAGCGCGCTGTACCCGACGGCGGAGACCCTCCCCCTCTGCCTCTGACCTTGCCGGAGCACAGTCCGGGCGCGGCGGCCAGCACCGCGCGCGCCGCGTCACCCCTGGATGCACCGCGCAGGACGAGGGGTTTCGGCGTGGGAACAGCTGTCGAGGTGCGTGGCGCCCGGGTGCTGCGGGCTGCAGGTGCGCCCAGGTGGGCGGCGGGGGCGGGGGCGCGTGCCGCCGGCCGCGGCGGAGGCTGGCCGGCGGGAGAGGCAGCCCTTCGGACAGGGCGCTGGACAGCGACATCGTCTACGTCGAGGCAACGCCTGATGTGTCGCTCTCCTTCCGTCTGGCAGACCGAGCTATTGTGTCCGCCGGCGGTGAATAAGTGCCCAGGGTTTCCGCCCACCTGGTGTCGGGGCTGGTCGGGCTGGTCTGGTCAGCGTGGGGGGAGTCGGTGTGCTGACTGCGGCCGTGCCTGTGTGGTGCCGTCATCCACACCAACACGGCGCACACATCCCTGTTGTGTTGCGTCTGCGAAACGAGATCACCCCGCTTCTCTGGAAAGGCTTGGCTGGTCGCCGTGCGTGGCGGCGTACAACTGTAAGGGCGGGCCGTCGTGCCGGTCCGTGTCGGGGAAGGAATGAGATTCATAGGTCGTTAAACTGTGTGTCGCGGTTTACTGCCTGCTCTGCTGGGGCCTGCTGGACCAGCCCCCCCGGTGCCCGAACTCGCACCAGCAACGACTGGCTAACGGCTCGACGGCCACCTCGGCGTCAGCGTCACGTCCCCCAACTACTCGATCAGGGCGATCACCTCATCTCTCCGGTGTCAGCTGCCCTGCCTCCTTAGCCCAAATATTCATTCGTGTGTTGGCGGCCTGAGAAGACCCACCTCAGCTCGGCGGCGCGCACAGCCGGTCCGGGGTCCGGGCCGCCGCCGGGCCGGGCCCCAGGTCCAGCAGGCGGGCGGGCCGGCAGCCGGTGCTGGCAGCCGCCAGGACGGCTGGCCGGCCAGACGGGGCTGGCAGGCAGCCGGCGGCTGGCCCCCCTGCTCCCCCTTGCCCTGCCGCCCCACCAGTCCCGCTCTTTGTTCGTGGGACCAGCGGCTCGAGGCTGGCCGGCCCGGAGGCCGGGGCGAGCCCGAGGCCTCCCACTCCACAAGTCCCGAGGCCGGTCGTATGCCCGTAGCCTTCCACGCCAACTTGACGGAGTGCCTCACACGATTCTGCGTTTTGCACTTATGCCAGATTGCCAGTTCGATCTGCATAGGTTAGCGAAAGCGTCAATTGTACATCCACGGCGTTGGTAATCAGCAAAGATGTTGCAGGCGATGGCTTTACCACCGTCTGGCGGAAGGAGCTAAGTTGGACTCGAGTTCCGCTGTCCGGACTCTTCTCGGTTGCTTCCCGGCTGCTGCACGTGGTGAGAGGTGTTGGGGCATAGCCCCTTCCACCCTCCGGCGCTGTGTGCTGATTCCCTGGGAGCGGAAGACCAGGCAGACATAGTTTGGGCCCGGCCGCGTGGCTTTATGAGGAACTAGAGCACTTTCCTTGTGGCCTTAAATTGGGATCATTTCTCATCTCCCTTCGTTCGACTACCGTCGCTCAATGCATATCGTACAATGTCCCCAAGTCTCTGCCCGCTGTCTTTCATTCATCGGGAAGCCAGCCTCGAAGCCAGCACATGATGTCGAACAACTCCATCCGTTCTTAAATGGGCTGAATCCATATCGAACTCTCTACACTTTCTCCCGTAAGTGTGCAGAAAACGGGCAACAGACAAATTATTTCCTTGCGTTTCGGAAGCCAGCAGCAAATGATTTCAGTCGCTTTTAAGACCTACAATCTGTCTTTCAAAACCACAACTAGTTCCAAGCATACTGTGTTCCTTCAAAGAAATCTGACGTGTTACATCTTGCCAAACGCACATCATACAATGTCTTCACTCTTCATTCTCGGTGCACATCAAGAAGTAGCAACAACCAATTGCCTCACTTGCGATGGGAAGCCAGCAAATGATCTCTATCGATTTCAAGATCCCTCTCTAGATTCCAAAACAAGAATTCAAGCTCCAACGCCAGTGTTTCCCAAACTAAACCGTACATGTTGTAGTATCCATATCGTACAATGTCTTCACTCTTGGAGTACACCAAGAACAGGCAAGTGGTTGTTGCCTCCTTGTCATTAGGACGCATTAGGAAGCCAGCAAATGACATTTCAAACTCTTTCAAGACCTCTCTAGCTTTCAAAACTACCATTGTAGCTACCACCTCCGTGTTCGACCTGTGAGATCGTACATCTTCAATCTTGAAATATGCAAAATGCAAATCGTTCAATGCATTTCCTTTAGGTGTATGTGTACCGATGACAAGCAGCAGCCTGCAGCTGGGAGCTCTTCTGTCAGAGCTCTGCGGAGGGCCGGAGGGCTCCGCCAAGGGGTGAGCGCGTACGGGAAGAATGTCAAATCAAGAGGGCGACGTGTTGGTGGTCCATGGTCCTGGTGCTCACCTCTGTGTTTGCCTAGGCCCCAAGTGGAATGCACGCACGCCACCCAGCGCAACGGGCGGGCCGGCCTCGGTCCTTTGCGACGCACCAAAACCATCAGGAGAAAGAGTAGTGGCCGCCGAAATTGAACAGACCACCGCAACCTTGAGTCCTGATTTGAGATGAAGAGAGGGGGAAGATGAAAGAGATGCGGAGAGGAGGTCGCAACCGAGAGAGAGAGAGAAGGGGGAGGAGGGGGCGGTCCTTAATGAGTGTGCGATGCGGCGATCATGGCGTCGCCTTAATGAGACCAACCAAACCAAAGCCGAACCTTATTAGAACCCGAACACGAGAAGGCTGCTCTGTAACGAGGCCAAATCAAACCTTGAGATGCTTATTAATTAACTATCAGCAATCTCTCACAATCAAGACTCCCTTTTTTCATTAATTCTTTCTCGGCCGGATTGGTTAATAGACGGAGCGTTGTTCTCCACGCGCGTGATCCTTGGGTGTGGTGCGGAATAGCGTGCAATTACTAGCAATGACAAGCCGTCATGATTCGGGACGAAGAGAGTTGGCGGCAGAAGGGAAGAGCCAGAGAGAGAAAGAGAGAGAAGGGGGGGGGGGAACAAGTCCTAATTAATCTAATTAGTGTGCGCGAGTCGAGTGCGAGCTCCTTTTTCTCTCGGCGGTCCGGGCTCCTTGGTGAAGGATCCTGTTGTTTGACTATCCTCCTGTGTTGTGCGAAAGTCCCTACTCCTGCCGGATTTCGCTGTTTATTTTTCGGTATATTCCTTTTTGTCGTTTCGTCATTGTATCAGCAGCTCTTCTTCACGGAAGTTTCTGCCGCTGGCCGTCTGTTTCCCGAATTACGGGTAACAATAATGCAAACTATGAATACGCCGACTTCGAGTCGCGCCATGTGAGCGACGCGGGGTTGTTTCCTGCACAGCGGGGGAAAATAAGGTTTGGGGGTGCAGCGGCGAGCAAAAGCGTGCGTCTGACATCACCTGATTGGCCAGACTGTAAAGGAGAACGCCGAAATTTTCTTTCTGTTTTATTCCTGACAGGGAAAACAATGGTGCTACGAAGGTGTTAACGCCTTAGTGCCTGTACAAAGTGTACAAGGCACGAATACTGTCAAAAGGCACTCATTTGTAGCATCTCTAGGAATCTTTCGCCATTAAACCGAAATTCCTTAAGATCCCCAGCAGTATGATTTAACATCTTTGTTCCTCAAAAGTGCTTCTGTATGTTACCTAAAACCAGCTGAATTTTTAACGCGTTCCAGCACATCACTTACTCCTTGCGTCGCCTTGTGCATGTTCCTGAGCGAGAGTGACGCCGAAAATACTCCACCTGCGCTTCTGCGAGGCACAACTCAGAGCCTCTGGGCACAACAGGCCTGCGAGCTGCGAGCGGCGGCATTCCTGCAGGCGACGTCCCTTTATCAATTATAACAATGATTACGGTTATGATAATGGTGGCAATAATGAGTGACTATTCATTACCCTCACGCTGACAGTCGCGTGGATTGCTGCCGGCGGGGTGCCGAGCCGAGCCGTGCCGAGCCGTGCCGAGCCCTGCCATGCAATGCCGGACCCAACGCCGGGCGCAGCCGATCCCGAGGAAAGGGGAATTTTGACGGCCGGAGAAAAAAATTACCATTTTAATTTTAATCCAGGGTGACGGGAAATAAATACACGGTACTGTTCGCCGTAAACGGGCGTCCGCCGCCACGATGACTCGGCTGCTAAACCAAACGGGAGCGAGGGAGG